AAATTGCAGCGAAAACAATAATTCAATTGCAGATGACAAGAAAAAGCGAGAATAACAAAACATCAAATTTGTAAAAAATATATTCGAAAAGAAAAACAAAAAGTAAAAAAAAACAAGCAAAATTAACAAAGAATGCTGAGTCACAAAAAAACATAAATAAAAGAAGATGCAAATAAAATAACAAATATATATTAAAATTATGAAATTAAATTTGTGTTTTATTTTTTTAAAATGCGGTCAAAGTTGAAAATCTATTGGTTGAAATTGCGACATGCACCTTTGTTGTGACTGACTGTCCGTTATTTTTATACCCTCCACCATAGTATGGAGGGTATATTAAGTTTGTCATTCCGTTTGTAACACATCGAAATATACATTTTAGACCCCATAAAGTATATATATTCTTGATCAGCATAAAATTCTATGTCGATTTAGCGATGTCCGTCCGTCTATCCATCTATCCGTGTGTTCATCTGTGGAAATCACTCTAGCTTCCGAACGATATTAAGTAGATTGATGAAATTTTACTCTATATATTTGAGTCTGCAGGACTTTTGGTATTGAAAATGGGCCGTGCAGGTCCACGTTTTGGTATAGGCTCCATATGATGGTATCTCCCTATTTTCGGTATTTTGGTGATTTAAGCGATATTATTCACCGGAAATGTTTCAAACTTGTTATTTGAAGTTCGTAATGAATACTACAGCCTATGATAGAAAATTGTCTGTGCAGGTCCACGCCTTCATATATCCCCCATATAACGGCAACTCCCGATATTCGAATTTCGTACTGGAAGATACCAATGGGTACTACAGCCTTTGGCAAACATTTTTGTATGCAGGTTCAGATCTTCGTATAGCCCCCATATTACGGTATCACCCGATATTCGGTATTTTGATGATTTTAGCGACATTATTCACCGGAATTGTTTCAAATTTGGTATTTGAAGTTCGTAATGAATACGTCAGCCTATGACAGAAAATTGTCTGTGCAGGTCCACGTCTTCGTATAGCCTCCATATAACGGCACCTCCCGATATTCGGTATTTTGATGATTTTAGCGACATCATTCACTGGAATTGTTTTAAATTTGTTATTTGAAGTTCGTAATGAATACTACAGTCTATGACAGAAAATTGTCTGTGCAGGTCCACACCTTCATATATCCCCCGATATTCGGTATTTTGATGATTTTAGCGACATTATTTACCGATTTCTTTTCAAGGAACACGTCGTCCGTTAGACCCTAATATGACGGATACATTTGGTATTTGTAAGATTTTAACAAAATTTTTAACGAATGTTATTTTTTTCAAAATTGCTAAATTCGATCCAAATGATGGAGGGTATTCAAAGTTCGCCCTGGTCGAACTTACATCTTTTTTATTTGTTAGTACTCAAAATAAACAATTTTTTCAGTTTGACAATTTTTTTTAATCAAACGTCATCGTAATAAGTTTTCAGACTTTCAGGGTGTCACATATCATTAGAGTTTTTCCTTTTTCGTAAAGGATAATATGAAAAAGTTAACCTTTTACACCAAAAAGCCTCCAAAATCTTTAACACAAGTAAAACAATTGAACAATGAACCCACATCCAATTTTTCTGTCCAAAACTAAATTAACACCTCCATTTGTAAACCCTAGGAACCAACAGTGACCTCAATATGAAATATCAAAGTTTCAGCTCTATCCCTCCACCCAATTCCAAATTAAGTGACATTTAGTACACATATCCAAAACAATCTACAACTCTACATCCTAGACACCAACAATGATCCAAAATTAGTATCACTTTGTATTTATCGACAATTATAGTGTGCATTTGCAAAACCACCATCAGACCTCAATATAAAATGTCTGGAATCCAGTTCTATACATTCACTCAATACCAAATTTAGTAGCATTAATTTATTTTCGTACAGTTATAAACAATCAACATATTTCAATCTCAGATACCAACAGTAATCTTAATATCAAATTTCAGGATTTTAGCTTTTTAATTTCCCCCATTACCAAGTTTAGTACCATTGATTTCAATTATAGTACCCAAACCAGATCCTCCTCTCAACCACAGACACCAACAGTGGCATCCATATCAAATTTCGGAATTTCAGCTCTATCTCTTCAGCCAATGCCAAATTGAGTACTATGCTGTACACATTTTCAAAATCACCTCCATATCTCAAAATCAGATAACAGCAGAAACCTCAATATTAAATTTCGATATTCAGTCCCTAAAGAAGATTTTTTTTAAATGGAAACAGAGTTAACTGAAAACATTATACCCTCAGTCAGAAGATAGACAAAATTAAAGGCTTGAAGGATGGCCTTCTAACTTAATTATGCTATACCCATTAGGATATTGAAAATGTGATTTGGATTTCAGATAGGTCAGTATAAGAACCTATTTTAAAATTCAATATTTCATTCATCTATCATAAGACTACAGCAACACTTTTTATGGGTTTGAAATTATGTATTTTTTCACTTTTTCCTATAGCTTCCATATAAAGTTAGTAGATTTTGAGAATTTTAGCCACATTTTACAGCGAAATTGTTTAAAATTTGATATTTAACAGGGTAACCCTGGAAAAAAGGCTGATAAGACCTTAGTCACTTATAACGACATAACAGTGACTGATCCAAAGAGGTGCGCTCAGTATTTTAGCCGACAATTTGTGGAACAACCCGAGAGCGGTGGGCGAAGCGATTAGTACTACGTCTTATCAGACCGGAACGCTAAGTCATCCATAGCGTTGGACCCACGAAATCTTAATGGGATTTGAGTACCTGACGAAAGTTCTCAACCTTTCGCTAGCCACCCATATAGTTTCCGAAGCCTAAAAAGTTGGTTGGGTGGTCCCGCTACTGAAGTCAGGCAAGGATCCCAAATTCGCTTTTGTCGCCAGGCTTTACTCCACCCCAGCATTAGAGGAAGCTATCCAGTTGGATTCCGTCCACAATATAGTACCACAACAGCATTACAAGCCATTTCCACACATTTTAGTAGTGGATTGAACCAGTATAAGCCGTGTCATAGAACAGTGTTGGTAGCCCTTGATCTAATAAAGGCATTTGGCATGCCACACTCTTTGAGGATGTGCAGAAAACTATCCCCGGCCATGTTTGAAACGTCGAATAATCAACTATATGTGTGGACGCCAGTCGCACGAGGAATTCCGGAACAAGAAGTCCAACGCCCGTAGAGTAAAAAATGGAGTTTTCTAAGGTGAGGTCACACCTTCGGAACTGTTTAACTTCTATCTTTCCTGAATTCCTCCCCTTCCAGACGACATAGAGATCGTAACGTATGCGGATGACATTTTAGTCAAATGCTCTGTTCCAGAACTTTTTTTGCTCTGTTCCAGAACCGCAAGAATGTAAAACTTGTTACCTCGACAACCTTTCCTTTATGACATTGAAAATAATTGGGCTACCACTATTTTTTATTGGGAGTTCTTAATACAAAATACACTATTGCTCTGTTCCAAAACCTGCTAGAATGCAATTTTTTCGACACTTACAGACATATTTTCACAAGTGTAACTTTTAAGAGTTTGGCCTGCCCAAACTTATCTGCTTATAGCTTATCCATTTTTTATACCCTCCACCATACTATGGAGGGTATATTAATTTTTTCATACCATTTGTAACTCCTCGAAATACTCATGTCAGACCCAACAAAGTATATATATTCTTGATCAGCGTAAAATTCTAAGACGAGTTAGCCATGCCCGTCTGTCTGTCTGTTGTAATCACGCTATCTTTCGAACAAATTGAGATAGAAGGCTAAAATTTTGCACACATGTATATTTTGCCAGTAGGCAGGTTAAGTTCGTAAATGGGCCATGTAGGCCCAAGTTATCATATAGCCCCCATATAACGGCAACTCCCGATATTCGAATTTCGTACTGGAAGATACCAATGGGTACTACAGCCTTTGGCAAACATTTTTGTATGCAGGTTCAGATCTTCGTATAGCCCCCATATTACGGTATCTCACGATATTCGGTATTTTGATGATTTTAGCGGCATTATTCATCGGAATTGTTTCAAATTTGGCATTTGAAATTCGTAGTAGATACTGCATCCTAAGTCAAAAAATGAGCCATGTAGGTCCTCGTCTTTATATAGCCCCCATACAACGGAACCCCTCGATATTCGGTATATTGATGATTTTAGCAACATTATTTAACGGAATCGTTAAATTATTCGTTGGTATTTGAAGTTCGTAATAGATACTGCAGCATAAAACAAAAAATGGGCCATGTAGGTCCACGTCTTTGTATAGCTCCCATATACCGTACCCCCCGATATTCGGTATTTTGATGATTTTAACGACATTATTTACCGGGATTGTTTCAAAATTCGCATGTGAAGTTCGTAATGGATACTTCAGCCCATGCCAGAAAATTGTCTGTGCATGTCCACGTCTTCGTATAGCCCCCATATAACGGTACCCCCTATATTCGGTATTTCGATGATTTGGGCTACATTATAAACAGATTTTTCTTCAAGTTTCGCATTTAAATATTGTAATAACTTATGACAAAAGTTTCCTATGCAGGTCTACGTCGTCGTATAGGCATTCGGCATTTATTAGATTTTAACAGAATTTTTAACGGATTTTATTTATTTATTTATTTATTTTTTTTTTTTTGGGAATTGCCAAATCTGTACCAAATGGTGGAGGGTATTAAAAGTTCGGCCCGGCCGAACTTACAGTTTTTTTACTTGTTACTTTTGGCCCCGTATAAATTATTCTTGCACACATAGAATTAAAATATATTTTTGCCAAGGAAAGCCCTTTGCTCTCTACCATTATTTAGGGAGGAACTTGGGCTATTTGACCGAACCTTTAATAATAGCTTTGTAGGATTTTGAAAATATACAGCGACACGCACACTTGACGTTTTCCTAATAATGAAACCATTGACAAGTTACCCCATCTTTATTACCTACTTTAGCTTACATTTTATCACAATTTAAACACATCGAATTTAATTCGTAACTTTATTTTGCAAAAACAAAATATTGAATACAAAAGAAAAAAAGTAAAGAGGTTCAAAGTTAAGGGGGGAAATTCGAGTTGTATGTTAACTTATTAATAATTTAATTAACGAGTTGGGCAGTGGTAGGACTCACACACACGCGTGAATAAAACAAAAATTAAGAATACAAAAAATACACTTATATAACGGTACTTGGAGGTTAAGACTTAAAGTTATGATTAATGATGAGTGGGCTAGTTGTTACTTGGGTGTAAATCGATAGGAAAAAAATATTGGACTTAAAGAGTATTGTTGTTAAATTACAATGTGGCACGTTGACGTACGTATGTTGGCACGTACGTTGAATGGTGGAATTAGGATACATATATTTAGAGACTATCGATTCCTAACATTTACCGTTGGCGGGGGTTTTGGGGCGACATATTTTACTGCGTCCATTCACACCGTAAACAATGTTACAGGAGAAGGTGAAATAACCGCAGGTGGAGGATTTCGTGTAGTAGGTGGATTCGAAGTTCTTATTGTTTTCCGGAGGACTCTTTGAATTGTCCATGCTACCAGTTACGGATTTGGTTACAGTTACATAGCTGTCGGGCTTGCGGGGTGCCTTGGAGTCGGAGTTCTTTTCATCGGCTGTAATATTCACCTTATTCTCGGTCTTATGAGGCTCCAACGATTTGGTATGGAATTTCTTTTCAACGTTGACGGATCCACGGAAGCCACTGGGAACGATCTCTGTGGTTGAACGCATGGGATAGGTATGAACGCGACCATTTTGATTTTGTTCTACATTATATTTCTTTGTGGACTTTGGTACGGCTACTTGTTGTGTTTGTGTGGGTGATGATTGGGTGTGGGTGACGTATGGCGAAGGAATGTATGGTTTCTTAACTTGTGATTTGGCTGCATTGGCAGTTTTTGATTCGTCTTCTTCCATGCTGATGGGGGTCTCACTGTCGTTATATTCTTCTTCCTCGTATTCATCTTCATATTCGTCTTCTTCGGGTAAATTGGAATCATCGTCTAGTTTGTTGAATGGAGCAGCTGTCAGGGAGAGAGAAATGGAAATTATTGTCTAGGACTTGGAAATTATCCAATGAAATTACCATTACTGGGGGATTTGGGTTTAAATACGGCATTTTCTTCATCTACTTTATTTGCATTGACGGCTGTAAGGAGGGGAGGCAGGGATATAGAATAAGGTTATTTAATTTGCGACAAAGAAGGAAAAACAGTTAACAGTTCATTAAAACTTAGACCTTTGGCTTCTACAGAATTATCATGAATTATTTTTTTATTGGAGTCATACTGCGACTCTTATTTCCCCATCATTGATAAAAGTGGAGTGGGAACTGTTTGCAAATTATTTTTTTGTGGAAAACATTGACAAATCGATGAAAATTATCATCGCAAAATAAATTGTTTGTAGGTCTAGGATTTTGAATTAAAATGGTAGCCTCCATTTTTTATGGTATGTTAAGGTCTTACATTCAGTTTATTAAAAGGAGTAAATATATCTTAAATCGATACGGAGATAATATAAAGCTATTAGTTAAAAAAAAAAATTAATTGGATTTTGTTTTTACAGTAGGAGTAATCTAAAAAGGCTACTGAGGAGTCGAGTAATACCAAAAACTTCAATAACCAGTAAGGAAAGAAAACCGTAGAGAGGGCCAGCTTTCACTTGTGTGAAGTAAATCATACTAGTTACACTGTACGACAAAATTTAATCAGATTTACAGCCTCGGCCATGTCACTTTATTCAAAATATATTTTGACTTACGATATGATTATTCCAAATGTTGATTCTTAATGGAGAAGATATCGGAGGAGTGGGCCAATACTATCCACTTCTCATCTGAACTAATTCTGATATAAACTTTACCACGTGCCCGATTTATACTATATTGACAACTTCCTTCAGTTTATAGCAAATATGCGATAATTTTTGGAAAATATTGAAATAGACGTGAGGTCTCACTTCATCTAATACTGATACAAATATTGGGATGTCCAAAATGTAAAGGAAATCGGACATCTATTATCAATTTAAGCTTTTGTAGTGGAGATACGAGAATGAATGAGCCGATAAATTTCATATTTACATCAGATCTTTTGTTGAGCAAAATATTAAAATATACCAAATTTGACTGGAATCGCAAACTTGTTTTACAAGTTATGAGAAATATTTTAAATTGTAATATTTTGTGGAGGAAGGTACCAAAAGGAGTGGACCGATATTGCCCATCTCCTAACCCGATTTAAGCTTGATAAGCTTGATAATATGTAATGTGATAATGTGACGATGGACCAAGTTTGGATCAAATCGTATATTCCCTTCGTGCAGAGAGACAGACGGTCGGACGAACGGACGGACATCTTTAGATCGACTCCAAATTTGCTGAAACGGATTTGGTACAAAGGGTCTTAGGATCTAAAACCGTTATTTCGATGAGGCACGTTTTGGCCGTATCAAATGATACCCTCTGTAGTCATATGGCTGAGGGTATAAAAAGAAGACACGTGCATCGGAGTTTTGAAAGTTTACATTGCAAAGTAGCCTAAATAGAGCTGACAAATTTTCCTCTGTTCCACAGTTTTGGAGATTTTCGGATTAAGATTCTTAGGAATTCTTGCATTTTGGGTGTATAGTGTCTTCAACAATATTGCAGATGAAAACAAGTAAAAAAGCTGTAAGTTCGGCCGGCCTGAACTTTGAATACCCTCCACCATTTGAAACGAATTTGGCAATTTACCGTTAAAAATACTGTTAAAATATTAAAAACGACGACGTGGGCCTGCATAGGAAACTTTTGCCATAAGCCATTAAAATATTAAATGCGAAACTTGAAAAAAAATCGGTGAATAAAGTAGCTAAAATCATCGATATAGGGAGGTACTATTATTAGGCGGTAATACCAAAATGTGGACCTGCACAGACATTTTTCGTTTGAATTTGAAACAATTCCGGTGAATGATGTCGCTAATATCATCAAAATACCGAATATCGGGAGGTGCCGTTATATGGGGGCTATACGAAGACGTGGACCTGCACAGACAATTTTTTGTCTTAGGCTGTAGTATTTGTTACGAACTTCAAATACCAAAATACGGAATATTGGGAGGTACCGTTATATAAGGACTATACCATGTTCAATACCAAAAATCCTGCAGACGTAATATACATTTGAGTAAAATTTTATCAATCTACTTAATTTCTTTCGGAAGCTAGAGTGATTTCCACAGACGGATAGACGGGCGGACAGACGGATAGACGGACGGACATCACTAAATCGACATAGAATTTTATGCTGATCAAGAATATATATACTTTGTGGGAACTTAAATGTATATTTCGAGGTGTTACAAACGGAAGGACAAAATTAATATACCCTCCATACTATGGTGGAGGGTATAAAATAGGAAATGGAAATAGAGATTTCATTTCTTTGGTGACTTATATTGAAATTTTACGAAGAATATTTTTGTCTTTGACGTCATCCTTCTAACATGACGCTTTGTTGGAGATATTTGCACAAACTCTCTCAAGGTACGGCTTTAATCCTAAAATGTGTTTTAATATACATGAATTCTTGGCGTTTAGGTAGGATCTAGAGTATTGACATCTTCTAGGACCTATAGTAGAATTTTATGACAAATAATTTTATAAAATATCTTGACTTGCTATGATCCCGTTTAAGGGAGTTTTTAATCGCATTTTAGAAAAGGACGTTTTTTTTTCTCTTCTATATTGTCGAAGAAGGATTCTTAATCCGAAAATTTCCAAGGGTATTAAAGAAAGGGGAACTTGACTTTGCGATGCAAAAAACGCTGATATACGTGTCTTCTATTTTCAGCTCTACTTTCATAATCTGTCGGAAATTCCCGTAATTCTTTTTTTGTGTTGAACAGATTGTTACACTGGGCAAAGAAAAAAATGCAGGACATAATCGGTATATTATGAAATTAGATATAAAATAAGAAGACACATGTCACGGTGCTTTTAAAGGTATCATCGTAATGGAACAAAAATGGAGGAGGCAAGTTCCAACCTCTTCCATATCTTTTGCAATTTTCGGATGAAAATTTCTCGAGGTCTATATATGAGGTCTATATAAAAACGTGGACCTACATTGATTATATTCTGCAAGGACTAGTTCCTCATATTAAAAACAAGAAATTTGTGAAATGAGATGGGAAATATGTTTAAAACTTACAAAATCTTTGAAATTGCCACCAAAATTGGACCGACATGACCCATCTTTTCAAATGATGAATGAACCACAATATAATTTTTGAAGTTTTATGTGGCTTTAATGGATTCTGTTTAAAGGCTGTTTCAGCTATTAAAAAACAAAAGACCGGTTTGGTGAATCGCTTGAAGGTTAAAATTTTCGACTAAAATAATCCTCGTATTATTATCAGCAATATTTTTGAAGACAGAAAATGTCAAATATGTAAAGTTTTCGGGAACTTTTAATCCGTAAATTGCAAAAAATGTCTAAATAGGTCACTTTGCGATGTAACCTTTAAAACTCCAAGACACGTTCTACACGAATTTTGAATTTTATCGCAATGTAATATTGAACGTGTATTACGGCTTTCTAAATTTGAACTGATTCTGAACAAATGCGGGAAAGGTATTTCCAGGCTGCATCCGATATTTGGTTGCGAATATAATTTCTTTAGAGTGCACGGCTTTGAGAGGCTTAAATGGTATTTTCTACACATTCTATCAAAAGGGTGGAACAATAGATATATAAAATTTCTTTAGCACACAGCCTGTATCATAGAGCCTCTTAAGCTATTAGTACGCACGTCACTTTTGTCATAGGAATATAAGTTTGCAGATATAAATCCCAAGTACATAATTAGGAAGTGAAAAGTGGGAGAACCTTGGTATGTGGGGGTTAGGATTGCTCGCTCAACTAACCTTCTTTAGGGGTCTGTCCTGATTTCAATTGTAAATCGGGTATGGCATCAGATTCTGAAGTGAGAGCAGTTTGGGGATTGTACATGGTGTCGACACGATCAGTTACTCTGTAAATACAAGAAACATAACGTCCAGTTAGCAACAATTGACCTCAACGTGATAAAGATCAATATTACGCTTCAGTGTTTCCAAACTGGCTGATGGTATTGAAAAGTTCCCTGTTTTGTTCGCGGTAGGTGGCTACTTGTTCCTTGGTTCCAGAAGCAGATTGAGCGGCTCCATGATAAGAAACACCAAATCTGAAAATAAAAGATCATTGTTAATGAATCATAATCACCGTGCGTAATAACTCTCTGCCTTACTTGGATGTGCCTTGAATCTGAGATTGACTTTGGCCGGAATGAGAACCAGATTGAGCAGAAGCCTGACCGCCTCCTGTTGATTGAACAATTTCATCATCTTGTCCAGGACGGAAACCAATTTGAGCCTGTGATGATGTTTGTCCGGGTCCACTGGACTGAGCATCGGCTAGGCCACCCTTGTCATTGGCTTGGACCTTTACGGGAAAAAAAGTCATAATTTTATTGACACACTTTCTCCAGGAATGGCCATTCATTCTAATATTACCTCGCTTTGGCTTTGATGGATTAATCCACCGCTCTGTGAAGAAGCCTTGGTTCCACCATCTTTCTCATTGACTTGTACTTGAGCCTGAGACTGGGCGGCACCACCTTGACCTTGTGACTGACTCATGGCACCTTCTGCACTACCGGTGACTTGAGAGCTGGCAGAGCGGTCATTGTCCGAGGTCATAGCGCTGGCACTGAAGGAACCAGTGGAACTGTAAGTACCTTGAACTTGTGTCTTGGCAGTACCACCGTTCTTCTTGCCTTGAGCACTGGCCGCAGCCTGACCATTGCTGATCGAGGATTCAGCTTGGGAGAATGCATCATCAGCACCGACTGAACCGGAAGCTAAAATTATTTTTTTTTTCAATTACACACACTTCATAGCCAATTTTATTAGAGGACACCTACCCAGAACACCAGATAAGTCTCCGGTTGTTTGAGCTCCAGTGCCAAATGCCGATCCTGGTTGAACTATTTGCTGAGGTCCTTGTCCGCCATATGCTGGACCGACGCCGACGCCGCCTTGACCAACACCTCCAGTTGGGCCATAAACACCAGGTTGGTAACCAACACCAGTACCAGAAGGAGCACCTGGTCCAACTTGATAACCAGTGGAGGCTCCAGGTTGAACACCTGTACCTGGTTGATATCCACTGCCGGCACCGCCTGGCTGAACACCAACTCCGGGACCAACAGATCCTCCAGGACGAGTTTGATAAGCAGCTCCTGTACCGGGCTGACCTCCTGTGCCAGGTTGGTAACCAGCACCTTGTTGCGTTCCAGTTGGATAACCAGCTCCAGTGCCAGGTTGAACACCAGTTCCAGGTTGATATCCAGCTCCTGCACCTTGTCCAACTCCGGCTCCAGTTGGGTATCCAGCAGCCCCAGTTCCTTGTTGAGCACCAATTCCTGATTGGACTCCGGTTCCCGTTGGATATCTAGCAGAACCTGATCCTGGTTGAACTCCGCCTCCAACTCCCATTCCACTTCCTGTTGGGTAAGCGGCGCCAGTGCTAGGTTGAACTCCTGCTCCAGTTGGATATCCGGTAGACACTGTGCCTTGTTGAACTCCAGTTCCTGATTGTACTCCAGCTCCTGTTGGATATCCACCAGAACCAGTTCCTGGTAGAACTCCGCCTCCAACACCCATGCCAGCTCCTGTTGGATAAGTAGCGCCAGCGCCTGGTTGAACTCCAGCTCCTGTTGGATATCTGGCAGCACCAGTTCCTGGTTGAACGCCAGTACCTGGTTGAACTCCAGCTCCAGAAGGATATCCAGTTGTTTCAGGTCCTTGTTGTACTCCGGCTCCAGTTGGATATCCAGTTCCTTGTTGAACTCCGGTACCAGGTTGATAACCTGCGCCTCCAGTTACTGGTTGATAACCAACTCCGCCTCCTGGCTGTACGCCAGTTCCTGGACGATAAACACCACCAGTTCCGGTTTGAGTGCCAGTACCAGTTCCAGGTTGGTAACCTACGCCAGTTACTGGTTGATAACCAGTTTGAGTTCCAACACCTTGTTGATAACCCGCTCCCATTCCCTGTTGAACTCCAACTCCAGTTTGCATGCCAGCACCAACGCCAGTTCCTTGTTGACCAACTGCTCCGACTCCAGGTTGTAGGCCGGTTCCGGTTCCTGTTGGGAAAACACCAGTACCATATCCTGGTTGAACACCAGCCCCTTGTTGTTGACCTGGTCTTTGTTGGCCACCTACACCTTGTTGCACACCATAGCCAGGTTGACCTGGTCTTTGTTGTACAATTTGTTGAGGTCCAAAGCCCGGTTGAGTTGTTGTTGGTCTTCTTCCTGAGCTTGGTTGGCCATAAGATGGTGCGACACCAGCGCCAGTTCCAGTTTGTTGAGGAACAACTCCTAAATATGACATGTTGTTGTTAAATAAAATGTCTCTAGGAAAATATTTTAACAAGTACCTGGTTGTCTGAGTTGTTGTCCTGGTACGTACTGTTGACCAGCTCCAGGTTGGAGTCCTCCAACACCAAATTGACCAATTCCGGGACCTTTATGTATATTTAAGTACATTAAAATGTATATTTTTCAAAGTTTAGAACTTTAATTACCTTGAGGTTGAGCATAACCTGGTCTTCCCTGACCTTGTCCAAATCCAGGTCTAGATACACCTTGTGAGGGGAGTGTTGGTCTACCCATTCCAGCAGAAGGCTGTCCGGGTTGAACTAAGCCTGGTCTACCACCAGAAACTTGTTGAACAGGTTGTCCATAACCTGGTCTTCCTTGTTGACCAACACCTTGTGTGCCAAAGCCCGGTCTGACTGCGCCAGCACCAAATCCTGGTTGTTGAGGTGTTCCGTAGCCTTGTTGGCCAATTCCAGGCTGTCCCACTTGACCTGGCTGACCATACAATTGTTGGCCAACGCCAGGTTGAGTCTGTCCAAATCCTGGTCTTTGTTGGCCATAGCCTGGTTGGCTTCCTGATGGTTGTACGCCACTAACTTGCCCAACACCTTGTTGTTGTCCAGGTTGACCAAAACCTGAAGGTCCCTGTTGACCATAACCAGGTTGCGTTACACCTTGAGAACCGTAACCAGGTTGAGATAATCCTTGTTGTCCTGTTCCTTGCTGCTGACCATAACCTGTTTGACCAACACCTCCGTATCCTGGTTGGGTGATTCCTTGTTGTCCAGTGCCATGTGGCTGCCCAACACCAGGTTGACCAATTCCACCATATCCCGGTTGTACTACTCCCGGTTGTTGTCCGAAACCAGGTTGACCTGTACCTTGCTGGCCAAAACCTGGTTGACCAACACCTTGTTGTTGACCGTAACCTGGTTGACCCGTGCCTTGCTGTCCAGGTTGAGCTACACCGGGCTGTTGACCATACCCTGGTTGACCTGTGCCTTGTTGTCCTGTTGGCTGAGCAACACCTCCATATCCCGGCTGTTGACCAAAGCCTTGTTGTCCTGAAGGTTGAGTTGCTCCACCATACCCTGGTTGTTGAGCAAAACCTTGTTGACCTGTTGGTTGGCCAACACCACCAAATCCTGGCTGACCGGAACCTTGTTGTCCTGTTGGTTGAGCAGCACCACTATATCCTGGCTGTGTAACACCTTGTTGTCCAGTCGGTTGAACAGTGCCTCCATAAATGGGTTGCTGTCCAAAGCCTGGTTGAGCAACACCCTGTTGTCCAGTTGGTTGAGCAGCGCCACCATAACCTGGCTGTTGTCCAAAGCCGGGTTGTCCCGACCCTTGTTGTCCTGTAGGTTGAGTAACACCACCATAACCTGGCTGTCCAGCACCCTGTTGTCCCGATGGCTGACCAACACCTCCTCCATAGCCGGGCTGTTGTCCTACACCTTGTTGGCCATAGCCAGGTTGACCAGCTCCTTGTTGATCATATGTTGTGCCGTAGCCGGGCTGTGCTGATGTTGGCTGTTCCAATCCCTGTTGACCCAATTCAAAACCGGGCTGACCAGCTCCTTGTTGTCCTGCTCCGATTGGGACATAACCTTGTTGACCACCAACTAGATCTTGTGGAGTTTGCCCAGCCGAAGGCTGTGCTGCTCCAAAATCTTGTTGTCCACCAACGCCTTGTTGTCCAGCTCCACCAAGGTCAGCACCTGTAGCACCAGGTCCATATGTTGCACCTTTTATGAAAAATGAATTATCCACATACAAAAAGAACTTCTAACAATTGCTTTAGTTATCTATTTCCACATTACCTGGCTGTCCATATTGTCCTTGTGGTCCGGGTGAAATGATTTGTCCTACTCGAAAATATAAAGTGATTATTAATAAAGTCTGATTAAATCAAACGAAATCATACCTTGAGTATCGAACTGTCCACCACCAGGTTTACCAATAAGAGAAGATGGTGTACCATCTGTGTAGGTAGTTGAGGGTTGATATCCAGCTCCTCCTATGCCTCCACCGTAAATCAAAGGATCAGGTGAGCCAGCATTATAATCTTAAACAATGTTAGTTAGTGAACGTTTTCAATAGTTAGCGATCATTCGATACCTACCATAAACAGTGCTTCCCGCACATTCTCCGCAATCGCCTACAGAGAATTGACTCTGAGCCTGACCCATACCGTGACTTCCGGCTGCAAATGTAAGAAATGTTTTTAGAAAAGTTTCGTGCAGATTTTTTAACAATTTTTTCCAACTTTGAAATAGAGCTCAATAAAATGGAAACCCCTTAACCTGTAACCTTTCTCAACTTACATACTGTTGATCGGGAGCCACTTTCATTAGCTTCTGCCTCAGCTTTGCCATCCTGTTCAGGTTTACCGAAATTTAAGTACTGCGACTGAGTTTGACCTCGCATACTGAGAAAAATCAAGAGTCTATTAGTACGTGTCTGTTTAAACCAGATATGTTTATAAATGTATTATTAAGGGTCAGGTTACACTTCATGTTAGAGTGACCAAATATATTAATTTAAACTATACTTCTAAAAGCTTCTAAGAGCATGATATAAATATGCTAGGGATAAATGTGGAAACGGCCGCTTTAGATACCTAACATGATGCGTAATCTGGCCTTAATTTGTATGGTAATTGTTTACTCACTAGCCTCTATTGCTTCTTTTTAATCTCTGAATGTCGTCAATAAATTCCACATTTTCATCGTTTGAGGAGCCCTGAAAGAGGTAAAATTAAGAGGTTATTTAAATATATATTTTACTTTTATGTTTTTATTTTGTTTGTAAAATTGAGAAGGAAATGTAATAGATCTATGGCTACTTTTGAGGATCATAGAATTACTTTCTGAGTCGATTTATGGAAGTCCGTCCGTCTGCTTGTCTGTATTTTTGTGAACAAAATGAAGTTCGCATTTATTGTCCGATAAAGATGAAATTTTCCATACATCAATTGTTTGGTCCAAGGACGAACCCTATTGAAATTAGTGATAATCGGTCCAAATTTAAATAAAGCTCCCATAAATATCTTCATCCAATTTAAATTTTATTGTGTGCCAAATGTGAATTCGGCCACAAGAATAATATTTGGTATCAGATAACAGGAATAGATCAGAAATATTAAATCTTCAAATTTCAAAGTTTCTCAAGATCGCATCATTGTTTGACATAGCTCCAATACAGGGTGAGATGAAAAAAAACTGCAACCAACTTCAAACTGCTCTCATTTCTCCGACAGCTGTTAAAATTATTCAAGTGACAGCTTATATGGTTCACAAGCATACAAAAACATTTTTTTTTCAGAAAAAATGTTATTCGTGATGGAATTCAACGTGATAGTATGATTTTCGTATATTTGGCTGGAAAACCACAAATGCCTATCTGGCACTCCAGAATTTAAATGTGAATAAATCTTTTGTGTCTCGTACCATCGCTCGTTACCGTGATACTGGTAGCGTAGACCGACGTCAAGGAAGTTGACGGAAGAAATCAGCAACATCAGCAGAATTGGTTCGAAAATTAAAGAAGCGATTAAAAATGGCTCGGGAGCTGAACATATCACAATATTCCATTCGGAAAATATTGAAAAATGAGCTCGGCGTAAAGTGAAGGAATTTACACCGCAACAGAAAGAAAGTAGACTCAAAAGAGCTAAAGAGTTTGGCCTAAAGTTTTTTTTCGAAATCTGGTTTTCTCCGATGAGAAAACATTCGTTGTCCAGCAGTTTTTAAATAAACAAAATGATCGTTTATACCTGCCAAAGAGGTCAGCTGAAAATTACCTTCTGAAAAGAGGTCAGAATAAATGCCGAATATTATCGCGAAAATATTCTGCAGGGTGTATTAAAACCTTGGTGTCAGAACAAATACCGAATATTTTCGCGAAAATTTTCTGGAGAGTGTATTAAAGCAAGCAAACATTTTGGCCGCAGACCTTCGACATTCCAACAGGACTCGGCACCATCGCACTCAGCACGCCACACTCAAGAATGTTTACAAAATGAGGTTCCTCGCTTCATTTCCAGCGCACAATTGCCACCAAAATCTCCAAATACCAATCCGTTGGACTATTGTGTCTGGAGTATTTTGGAAAGCAAGGTTGGCACTAAAAAATAACAAAGTGTCGATCACCTCAAGTAAGCGCTTTGCCGGGAATGGGCCAAAATACCGAAGAGCAACATTCGGACAGCGCTAGACGGTATCATTGGCCGTCTGAAGCCCATAATTCGTGCCGAAGGTGACCAATTCGAACAAATCTAAACTTATTTTAAAATTTGATGCTTTTTCCGCCATTTTTTGATTTGATTCAATAAAATTAAAAAAAATGTAAAAATTATGGCGTTCGACTTTGTTGCAGTTTTTTATCTCACTCTGTATACATGTATAACCGATATCCGGTTTATTGTGTTCCATATGTCTAATATCAGCCCACATGGATTGATTTTTAACACTTCCGACCGAATTCAGCATGGAAGCACTTCAAAGTTGGAGAAAATCGATTACGATAAAGCTAAGAAATTTTATCAATATCGGTTCAGATTTGAAAATAGACCCCATACATACATATCTTCATCCGGTTATTGTTCAACATATATGTATGTAATGTCAGACCAAATTGGATAGATTTTTTTACATTCAACCGAATTTTTCTATTTTGTGGAACTCAGTTCTAATATATATTTTTAATATAATCCTTCTCGAAGTAATATCATGCACTCTTTAACAATGTTATTTGGCATGAGAGGTAAAAATGCCCCTGTCAAAAGTCGATGAAAATTGAATAAACCTACTATATATTGGTTCCCTCTGAGACCTCTAAAATGTCTCTAAAGCCATGATATTTACTCAAATGAAGTTCATTGTTGGTATTATCTATTCCACATAAATTCCCAACATAAACTTTTTTGTTACGGGAGCTCTACTAAATATGCATAGTGGTGTAGGGTATCATATGGAAGGCCCCGCCTGACTTTTGACCTTTCTTTACAAGTTTTATTATATACGTATTAAATTCAATATATTTGTTACGCATACATGTGTATATTCTATATTAGGTCAAGGTCGAATTATGTGCTGTAATCAACCCTCATAGTCAGAGGAAATTTTCAATTTAGATCGATTAAAACAAAATAAAGGTTTAGGTTTTCAAATTTCACACATCCCATAATGTATCGGTCCACTGCTTCTATAGTCCAAGCCACTCGTTCGGAACTTTCCCCATAACAATGATAACGCAAGGCTAAGGGTATACAGGGTGAGATGAAAAAACTAAGCCACTCGTCCGTCAGCTGTTAAAATTATTCCAGTGACAGCTCATTATATATATATAGCGTACAAAAGCATTTTTATGAAAAATTTCCGGAAAAAGTAATTCGTGAGGGAATTCAAGCGTGATAGTGTGATTTCTTTGTATTTGACTGGAAAACCACAAGTGGCTATTGTTAGAGCACTCCAGCATTTAAATGTGAATAAATCTTTTGTGTCTCGTACCATCGCTCGTTACCGTGATACTGGTAGCCGAATTCGCACTCAGCACGCGCCACCCAAGAATGGTTACAAAATGAGGTTCATCGCTTCATTTCAGCGCAAAATTGGAAAGCAAAGATCACCTCAAGCAAGCGCTCGCCGGGAATGGTCCAAAATACCGCAGAGCAACATTTGGTCAGCTTATTCTAAAATTTGATGCTATTTCCGACATTTTTTGCTCTCATTCAATAAAATTTAAAAAAATGTAAAATTTATGACGTTTGACTTTGTTACATTTTTTTATCTCAACCTGTACATGTTAGGACTGCATAATCTGTTTCATGGGATACTTGTATGTACGCATATAAGATACAAGTTTCTTATAAAAAAAAAAAAACACGGAAAGAAAACAAATTGAAGTTTTTAATGAGTTTCTTATTTGTCTTCTCTGCCATAATATGTCCTTTGAAATTACAGTTACAGTGTAGTTAAAATAAATTTTCAAGAATACATTTTTGGTCAATTTTAAAATCAGAACCACATAAATATTGCAGAATTAGTGGATTTAAAAAAATACGCATGCTCTCCTCAAGATTTAAAATTTTGGACTCATTTGTTATAGGGAAGCTTATGTCACTCATTTTCACTCTTAGAGCGAACTTTTGCTCTATTTTGAGCCGTTCTGCTCCCACTCTAATTTTTCAAACAGGAGTGACTCGGAAAATGAAAATGAGCAAATCTGTAACCTGGTCAATTTTTAGCGAAACAAAAACGAATCAACCCAATTTCTGATACCTCTTGTAAGGAAAAGTGCATACAGCAGAATGCGTTCTTCTTGGATAGATGCAAGGGGTAATGGAAGGGGCAAGGAGTAGGCTATAAAAACTATGCAAGATTTCCCATTCACTGGCTTCAAATAGTTTTTGATTGGCATTGCAAAATGTAGACTACCATTTTCGTGATGGTAGATTATGTTCTCGTGTATGATCGAATATTCTGATTGCCAATTATTGATTTCTATCTTCAAACCGCTTAATTGTGTTTGGCGTCTGATCAGACTTTAAAAACTCATAATATATTATTGGTAGCGCAGGGCGTATGTAGTTATCATTACTTTTGAGATACTGGTAATGCAAAGGGTTTTGTATGGCCTATGAGGTATAATTACTTTTTGGCGTAGCTCCCATATAGCTCCCATATTGCCTTTCCTACTGATTTCAAGTAATTCAAACGTCTTCATTATATTTTCAACGGGATCACCTCATCATGGTCATGTTCTGGGTAGGTAAAAACTTCCCGCCTATTTCACGGTGGAGTACGTTAGAAATTCTTGTGAATTTAAATATTTCTATTTTAAAATCTAATTCAAAATGTTTGTTCTAACACTTAAAACTGATTATTTCAAATAAAGTTCAATTTTTAATGTCAACTTTATCGCTGAGACCTACTTAGATTCTTGTGAGACGCTTCACTGATTCTAGTTCTCTGTTCTTGCTGTTGTTTTTATTGTCATTCGTTGATTTAAAGTTTTGGCTTGAATTCATATTTCAAATATGACCTTGGAGAATAGATTTATATAGTGGGCCATAAAAATATGTGTTGGCGCTTATCAAAAATCTTTGTAATTTCCTGAAGATTGACGATGAAACGGAAGTTCATAAAAATAAAATTTATTAGTTTTTTTTCTATTTTCTTCGTGTCTTAATATGTGTACAAATTTACGTACATATATTTGTATGGTTATGTAAAATTGTAAATAACACTGGGAAACACAAACAAGTAAAAAAGAACATTAAGTTCGGCCGGGCCAAACTTTTAATACCCTCCACCTTAGGGTAAAGGAAACATTAGAAGAAATGTGGCAAAAACCATCAAAATACCGAATATCGGGAGGTACCGTTAATGGGGGCTATACCAAATCGTGGACCCATACATGCAATGTTTCGCCACCGGAGCTGGAACCCATTATGACCAACAAATACCATTTTTCAGCCAAATTCGTGAAAAAATGTGGCATAAATCATCAAAATACCGAATATCGGGAGGTACCGTTATATGGGGGCTATACCAAATCGTGGACTCATACATGCAATGTTTCGCCACCGGTGCTGGAACCCATTATGACCTACAAATACCAATTTTCAGCCAAATTCGTGAAAAAATGTGGCATAAATCATCAAAATACCGAATATCGGGAGGTACCGTTATATGGGGACTGTACCAGAACGTGGACCGATATATCTCATTTTCAATACC